TAAATTAGGTCAGCCACTTTAAAGGGGATGAATATTTATGCAATCACTCATCTTATATTAAGTGTTTTAATTAGATTAATAATACTATTATTAATTTTCACTTTGACATGAACGTCTTTTTTGTTGGGTTCTTGTCAAAAAGCAAAATTTTACTGATCATGACTGATTTGTAAAAATAATAAGTGGGTAAAGCACCAAATCAAAGAAGGTGAACAATTTTATAAGCAATGTTTCATAGACAGAGATAGAAGATTAAATTTAATCTTTCAGACACGACAACTCTGTCTTGATTAACAAACATTAAAACTCCTATTTTAAGTCAGGATGGACGACATGTCGACATCAATATACCAGTAGCGGTTTGATAAGTAAAACTGGGCTGATATTAACAACCAATCTTTATTTTCATTTTGTTGCAGACTGTGCTCCAGTAAAGCGGGTTGGTCAGCCATGTGATGTTTGTTTGGTCATGTAACAGTCACATTTATGTAATGCAGGATGATGGGGGTTTTAACTAAAGTAGAGAAGTAAAATTAATGCTGTTAGCATCAAAATTGAAATCATACAGTTAAATATTAGAATCCAACATAATATCAATATCGGCCCAATTTTCCGTATCGGTACTTTTAGTCTACAAAGAACTTACCAAGAGCATGTGGTTCAATGAACTCTGATAAAAACACAAATATGGCCAAGGTTATTGGCAATTTTTTAATGCGATGGGAATAAATGTAATTTCTTTACCGATTCCAACATTTTAAACATGCTCAAATAACCTGAGTTTTCTTAGATTGTATGGAGTACAGACATGTTTCCTTTGCATGGAATTAAAAAAAATAAAAAAAATCAGCAGTTTGAAAATAGCTTTGGACACAAAAACACAGTCATGCAACAGAAACTTAAGATGGGATGGCTTTTCTCAGTCTGAGCTGTACTGGCCCGTTTCGTGACACACAAGACACAAATTAACTCATCAGCGTGATTTTCCTCCACTAACCAGGTGCTGATTCATTTAGAAGTGGCTCAAGGTTCTAGAAGCGGTCTGCTCATAATGAACCGACTCAGCAGGGAGGGAAGTTAAACCGTTAACAGGGTTAATAAAGTTCACAATACAGGGGAAGCTATCACGTTCATTTAAAGAGAAGTTGTTCCAACATTCAGAACAATTCCTCTTGTGTTACTCAGTCCATCATGAAAAACTACAAACTCCAGAATTAGCTTTTATAAATTTAGTAGTAAACAAAATCTGTAAGGTTTACAAAGCAAACTGGATTGCCTACAGCAACAAGTCTGAGTCACATAAGGATGGGAGAAAAATCTGTAAAATAAGAGCTGAGGAACACCGAGAAGAAATTCAGAGGCAACCATTACCCAAAATCAGTTACTCCAAATCTATAATTAAACTAAATATGGCTTTGATTGGTTGCTGGTATAAAACCTGACACACTATACTTACAACTCAAGTGTTATATTATCCTAAGTTAAATAATTTCTAAGAACTTGTAGTGTTAATTGGATGTTTTGTCAGAAAAGCTGCGAAACCTGAGAACACCAATCTGTATTCAGCAAATTGTCCACTTTCTCTGCTGGCTTTTGTAAATAAACTATATTGTCAAAGTATTTTCTAAACTTCTTTTCGAAACATGAACTTTAGTGAGATCCCATTTCTAATCCATGGGGTTAAACATGTCATCCAAGCTTCAATCCATGTGGGAAAGATCCACAAGTTTAGGGGTTTTTGACCATTATTGTAGAATTGTTGGGCAAGAAGGCCTGATTTGCAGTCTCCGCTCAAATTCATGCAATCAGCGTTGTGGGGGCTTGAAATGGGGAGTTAGGTCAGTTCAGAACCAAACTAGCTTACTTTAATCTTTATAGACCATTGTTTGTACAAGGTCAGGTTTTAACAGGAATCCCAAAATGTTCCTATAAATTTGGGGGCATCAATAATCAGTAATATCTGAGTTAGCTGAACCTTTACAAATTCAACAATAGTCTTTCAAATGGTCAGTTGCAATAATCTGCACAATCAAGTTATATTGTATAGCTTTAGATAAGACATTCATGCATTTATGCTTCTCTTAATCATTAGCAAATATTGGCATGTTCACATATAAAATCTTTATCCAAGCAGAAAAATGTTTTTCTCACAAAAATAAACACACATCTGTGTACAAATGTGTAATAAATTAAGACTGAAGACTCCAGGTTTAATTTGAGATTTTCTTTTAATCACCACAAGTCAATCCAAGACTAAAAGTCAGATATCCCGGTTCCATGTAAAATAAGATTTCTCAGTAAGTGAGTGAGGAGTTGGTTAAGAAATCATGAGATTTTCTGAAAAAATATTTTAATCTAATTTGAAGAAAATCAACACATGCCTACAAAACACAAACTAACCACTGCTATGGAAAATGGTTTCACAGTGTCATTTCACTGTTATGGCTGTCAAGATAGAAAAGTGAAGATTCTTATTGACTCTTTAGTAATCTGTCATTACAGCAGCTCCATAATGATTTATTAAGCTTCAATATAAAGACATGATGCCTCTTGATCAAGCTTACCAGACCATGCTCCTGCACTCACTTTAAATCCGTCACCCACTCCTAAAGACTAATTCATAAGAGTTGTATTTTATTTCACACATGGCTGAAATCTCGCACAAACAGCTCCAACTTCTTCACTTAACGGCTGAGTCATTCATCTTCCCCCAGATCAGATCTCACTACAGCTACCAGGGAGGAGAGCAGAGGCACTGAGAGAAGGATGGAGCCATATCAGGTTTTCAACCTTGCTGTCAGTCTAGATACGGAGAGCCATTTCTGGGCAAGGTCCGCCTGAAACCCAATTCCAGCGCATCTTTAAAAGCTTCAGGAAGTCCCGCCGGACTCTGTTCAGTTCCTCGTGTCACAACCAATTTCCCCTCAGAGCCATTCTGCCCTCAACAGTCTTTATAGACTAGATGAAGGAGGATGTGTTTTCTTTCTGGTGCAAATTCAAAAAAGCATCTAATGAGGAGAAGTCATTCTAAATAAGAGGAAACCTGACAAAACTGAGTAGGTAACGATTTAGGAAACCGTTTACAAGGCAGTTAAATGTAACTGAGGTCATAGACCCCTAATGATACTCTTAGACACAACATGGGGTGGCCTCCACATATTCACTGATTAGAACTTTTATTGCAGTCCCCAGTATAAAAACCAAACTGCTCCTGTTATTAAATGGTTTCCCTTTCAAGCTGAGAGGGTGCTCTGTCATAGAGCGGATGGTTTTTTTTTTCCTTGAATCATAAGGTGACCAACAGCTAACTAGTAGAATATGAAACTAAACCAAGGCTTGAAAAGATTTCCTGTCAAAGTATCAGCATTTCTTATGAAGGGTTCAATGTCAGCCATGTCTTCAGAATTTGCAGCACATTACTGGTTATAAAAACAGGTTCCAGTATTAAAGCCAGAGAACAAGAGTACAAGTGAAAACACCACTGTTTTTGGAGGCAGAAATTCTACACATTTTGATAGTAGTAACAAAGAAATTGACACCTTGTTTGAGCCAAACAGCCATTTTCATGGCCAAATGAACACTGTCCTGATTCACATATTTATAATGGCTATATAGCTTTAGGGGCCACCAGGCTGGTTCCCATATTGCTTCAGTAGAGGAATATTGAAACCAACAAAAACATGATAACATAGATGTGCGGCAGCTAAATGGCAACACAGCATGTTTTCCTCGTGAATCCAGCCCAGGAAAAGTGGGTGGATTTGTGAAAATCATGAGTGCTAATTCAACTTTACACACCAAAAATAGAGGCCTCTGTACGAAAACAAGTTTTGCATGTTGTGAAAAGAGTATTTTATAGAATCTTGGCATCTTGGAGTGTTGTCTAATGTCGGCTGCTGTTTGCAGATCATGTTATTAAAACAAACAACAGCTTATCTTTCCAAAATTTCCTCCAACATGATTTTCTGAATCTGAATATTATGTCTTCCCATAATATTCAGACTGCAACACTGCAACACCTGATCAGCTTCTTCCATCAGCCACATCGGCCTCTGATTAGTCAATGTGGATAATAATGTGGATTTTTACAACCAAAAGACATGTTGACTTTTGCAATAACATGCCCATCTCCCTACTCAAATAATAAAGCTCCAAAGTTGATCATTAAGCAGTTAATGCACCATATTTACAATTTCAACCAAATGTAGAAACTTGAGAGCTGTGATCACATCAGTTAGCACATAAGCTCATTATTCAGCAGAGGTTCAGCTATTTCACAACCAACACTTAGTAAAAGCTTTAGGGACTGAAGTCAGACGTTTGGCTTTAACCAGCCTGCAAATTATTATCTGGCATCCAGATCACAATTTCACCTTTGTAAAACTGAGGTTTGTTTCAGACTAGATCAGCATCTCTGATTAAATTCAGCCATTTTAAATTCCTCCCATGTTCATAAGAACCCAAAGAATGACCCGTTAAGACCCCCGCTGCAGAGCCAGGAGGGTTCTGCTCCAATGGCTAAAGCGTCAGCCACAAGCTCAGTGGCCGTAGGTGTGTTATGCAAGCTGGAGGGATAAAAAGATCATTGTTTCCAAACCGCCCACAGATAGAGTTCCACATTTTACAGCTCTGGTTGTGAAATCTCAGCTCTTTAACATTTGAATTTTGGGTCCAGAGGTGCTGATCAGTGCAGAGTTCAGGGAGACATTTCTAATCCTGTGGATTAAACTGTAAATTCCTCATAATTCTTTGTGCTGAAAAATTATTGAGTTTAAACAACTAATTTTGTAAAGTAAAAAAATAAAATGAGCCATGACTGAATTCTGCAGAAGATATAAATAAGTTATAATGGACAAGATATAGTGGTCTAGAACATCCAGATTTTAAGTTTTATCTCTCGACTGTGCAAGTATGAACACCAAACAGCAGGAAGAACACTGTTTTGATGTTTCAGGAAGATCAAACTTTCCAATAGCACTGAGGCTGGTTGGTGATCTTACCTGCTTCTTGGGAGAAACATGGACTCCTTGATGAAAACCGAGCCTGACAACAGGATGTACCAACAGCTTCCCACATCATCCGGGCTGAAAATCACAAGCAAAGACTCAAATTAATACAAAGAATGAGAAACAACATTCCAAGAGTTTTATACACAAATATAGTGAAAAAGTAATAAACAGGCACGCAAAAGCTTTCATTGTTAGTCTGATAATTAGCAACACTTCACTACAGTTACTTTGCAGGACATTTAGTCCCTGTTATCATTCAAATCAAGCAATATTAACTCTTCACCCCTCAAAGTTCTTTAATAGCTCTTTCTCTTCCGATTGGCCAGTTTCTGCACAGTTTTCATCTGCAGAAATTAAATTTACAAACAGTTGCAATCTAATTAATAACCCCTTTACTTAAAATACTCTGAAAATACACAGTGGAGTGCATAATAGTGAAGTGGAAGAAAAAGTAAAGATGGTGTTCAAAAACTAAAATCTGAAAAGTGTGGCATGCATTTGATAGCTTTAGCTATCAAAGTAAAATGGACTGAATACAAATGCATCCAGCAATATTAAGATTTGTTTAATATTTTAAATTTACTCCCAGTATAACTCATTGATGTTTGTGGTTGTCACGTAAAATAACCTCCAAACATAAGCATCAATTTAAGAGGCACTTTCATAAACTCATCTTTATATTTTGCATCAACATTATCATGTACACATTAGTTTCATCATTAATAGTAGCATAAATAACATAATAAAGCTAGAAAAGAGCTTCTTTAACATGAATATTAAATAAATGCAGCCCCCTTATTGACAGTGTATAATATATTTTCTCCTGGATCAAACATTCATAGATTTTACTTTAAAATTCCAGTTTGTAGTGCTTTGTGGGAGAACAATGACTAAAAAGGAAGCAGAAAACAAAGAGAAGGCTTCCTTGGAGACGCACAGATGGAGTAGCACCATGAATGAACAAACCACCCACAGCATGACCCTGCTGAGGGATGTAGACAGAGAATCTGGGCGCTACAGACATAAACTCACACTGACCCTCAGACGATGTAGCAGGCAGTCTAATCCTTACAAGAGGACAAACAAACAAATACAGAGAATAAATCATACCCACATGCAAGGATGATGCCTTCTGTTGAATCTTTTTGAATATTTGCTTTAAGTCACCAAGTTATGCAGCCTCAAACCGTACTAGTTTTTTAAATTATTATTTTAAAGCACAGTTAGCTGGTCTGAGAGATGCTACGATGGAAGAGGTGATGGACGGGGTTTTAGGGTTCAGATAATATCTGACAACTCATTAGTTTTTTGGATCTTAATGAGAAACACCGACCTTTTATTTTCAAAAATGTTCATACAGAATAAAAACATTGCTACATGTTTTTCTTGTTGTGGCAATAAGAAATAGTAAAAACTGAAAAACTCAATCTGACTTTGCTAAAGTAACTTTAAATAAATTCTTAGTGTTAGGTTAGAAATTAATAGATCAATTTTGAAATCAGTAGATCAATTCCATCGTCCATAAGTAATTCCACAAAAATAGAGTAATAGTCTCACCACCTTTGACCTTTGGCACCATTTACAGGATTTTAACGAGTCGGTTGTTTATTGTAGCGGAACTGAGGACAACTCACGAGGATCAGTTATGTTTTAATTTGTCTTTTTTCCCTTAAAGGGGCAGGGTTATGTGTTTTCCAGCTACAGGGTATCACTTTGTAGCACAATAAAGTAACTATGTTACCTTCTGTTGTTATAAAAATGCAGTATAAATATCAAATATCCATCCATCCATCCATTTTCTGTAAACCCTTTTCCCTAGTGGGGTCGGGAGGGCTGCTGGTGCCGATCTCCAGCGAGCGTTTTGGGTGAGAGGCAGGGTACATTCTGGGCAGGTCGCCAGTCTGTCGCAGTATATATCAAATATGGCAAAAAGAAATTTAACTTTGTAACTTAATGCCTTGAAATTGGGCCTCTGTCTCTTTAAAAAACTCAAAAAAGTTGATTTTACATATTACTACCAGGAAAAAAACAGCTTTTCCCTGAATGGACAGCAGCATTTTTTAACACAGCACTCCACTGTGGTCACTGTCAGCATAGGTGCTGTAGGGCAGCTGGCAGACTGTAAAGAGGAAGCAGAAATTCAGAGAAGGAAACATTAATATTATGCGTAATCCTGAGTTTTTAGCTAGTAATGTGACGTAAACCCAGAAGCTAAACATAGAAATTACAGATCAGTTCCAAACTGACGATTCCAGTTATCTTCAGAGATTACTTTCTAACCGTACAACCAGACAGAGATTTAAAAAGGAGCGACAAAAGCAAATGAGGTGGATTAGCATAGCCTGTCAACAACATGTTACTGTGGAAGGTCATCTTTGCTGCTAAGAAATTTAGCTATTAGCATGTCATGACAGTCATGAGACCGACAAGCAAAGTTTAAGGGCTAAATTTGACTTTTTAATTAAAACCAGCAAAGGAAACAGAAGGGGAATCATACATGTGACACTGGTTTGTGCTTACAGAAAAGTAAAGGATGGGTGAACCTATTATACACCTGCTTCTACACAAGAGCATACATTTACACCCAACACCTCTGTGCTGCTGACTTGTTCTTTTTTAATCAACTCTTCCTCCTCCTCTCCACACTTTCACCTGACAGAGTGTAAAATCTCTCATTTATTTCAAAAGGAATCATGCTCCATTTTCCACCGTCTCTTTCCGCTCTCCCACGTACTCGCTCCATACTTTCATGATCCCTCTCTGCATTGGGGTGAACACAAACAAAACCTTCAATTATTAATAACCAGCAAGCACAAAACGAAGGAAGCGCCTAACAAGAGGAGGAGGAGAGCGCACCAAAACAAAAAAGACGCAGAAAGAAGACTAGGATGCTCTGGGACGGCTTGACTGATCTGGGTCATCCGTATAGGAAGCAATAGTCAAACACTAACACTGTAAAAGCCCACAGGGAGGCCTGGAACAACAGGGAGTCTGCTTGTGTGTGCGCCATGGAGATGGAGAGGTGAAACCATGAAGACAGAACCCTTCCAGTAAGTAGAGTTTCAGAAAATTAGCTTTGACTCATGAAACATGAAGCAACAATTAAACTCCCCTTATGATAATCAATGATTAGTAAAATCCAAGTTCAGAAGTTCATAACTCTGCACTCCCTCAGATTTCAGCATGATAACCACTTCCCTTCTGGCAATGCTCAGCTGGATTTTTCTGGTTTGAGCTCCAACTCCAACATCAGCTAAAAACAAAAGTGGTTTTCTTTACATTTTTTGCTAATTCAAACATTTTTTTATCTTTGTTATATGGAAACTTAAAAGGTTATTCCAGTTCATGAGCTTTTTATCTGTTAGAAGTTACTCGTAAGAAATGTTCAAATCAGTCAAATATTATACATTCTAAGAACAGTTTTTTAGTACTAATGTATACTATTGTCAAAGTAGACATGAAGTCAAAAGTAGATTTATACTTCCACAAGTTCATACAAATTCTTTGAAGATGTCTGTCTTACATAGACTCCTGACCTAATCAACTCCAAACTGATTTACAGATTAAATTCTTAATTTATATAATGGATAATAGAATGGAAAGGATCAAATTAGACTATGATCAATATAACTATAAATACATAAAAATCAAAGAAATTAAAATGTAGATTCAATATTTATTATATCCTTGACAGGATATAAACAAACATGAAACATTTCCATCTAGAATATAAAAAAAATCATGGAGAATTTGTTTTCATATGGGTTTAAAATCAATAGTTAATCTTCATACAACTGATGTTTAATAAAGATTATTTAAACAAAAGCAGCTGTTGGATTTTAAGTGTTTTTAACATGACAGTTATGATTTCTTTATATGTGAAGCAGTTCATACTACAATGGATTCCCAAACGCCCAAACAAAGATGTAAGAAATGTCCACCAAGAACAACACAAGGTTACACAGAACGAGGAGTTGCGACACAACGGTGGTTTCTCTCCGCTGAAAATAAAACAGCAGCGGTAACCATTAAGATGTTATTGTACGGCTGCCTTCACCATGAAATTCTCCAGAGACTCAAAGCCACAATATGTGTGTAATGTTACGAAATAAAGCCAACAATTTTTCTACAATAAACAGAACCAAAAACAGCTCAAGTGCCGGGCTGAGAGACATTGTTACCTTAGTGGGATTTCTCAGAACAGGATCAAACATTTCCTCCTTACCCAAACCTGTTCTGTCAGTGCTGAATGTTGGTTAGCTACCAAAATGTGGGGAGATTTTAATGAGATTGCTTTTCCCCACAAAGAGCTTCAGAGCCTCACAAACGTAGGAAATGACAGTCTGGAAAAATGTAGAGTGCTGTGAAACATTATTTACCCCCCTTTGTTTTAGTGCTGTTGACAAAGATGTTTCAGATCATTAAACACATTTAATATAAAAAAGATAAACTCAGTAAGTACAAAAATGTAGTTTTCAGTGACATTTATTGAGGGGAAAAATCCTGAATAATCTTTCAGAATTCTGCTCTTTTTGTTGTCAGTCTTATGACCTGAGAGGAAATCCCTGGTTGCTATCGTGATTTAGGAACTTGGGATCAGCTATTTGTGATATTCGCACCATCAGCAGTTTGTGACCCAGCGCCGATGTAATGTCCAACATGTGGTGACTTCTGCTCCAGTTCACAGAGTCCAGTTCATATTTACACAAAACAATGTTCAACCAACTGGTTAGAGATTTGAAATGTTTTGTGGACAATTTCCGATCTCTAGTTTTTGGAAAGCTTGGAAAAACCAAAGTAAATTTTTATGAACCAGAATGATTTTCCACTTTTAAGAATGATAACTTAAGAACCTGACGAGAAGCTCAGAGGAGGGGATGAAATCTGTTTTTCACTGCATGCAGATATTTATACAGATAATTCGGAATACATTAACGAACGGCTAAAGTTTTTGAGGAACACCAGAGGTGGAACTAAGAGGTGATTTTGTGTTGCCGTGGTTTCTTGGATATTTTGTTGATCTGTGTGTCAAATAATCAGATAAAAAAAAAAAAAAAACTCAGCTCATCTTTGGTAAAGTCATACAAGCGGAGACAGATATGTCTTCTGGAGATGACTGAGATGTCAATGTAAATGTCTGGAACTGAGTTAGGAAGTAAAAATGAATGAAGATCATTATGGAAGCATCCACACGCTTTAACTGTTGCACACTTCTTGAAGACTTGACAGTGGTTTCTCAGTCTTTGTGCTGCTACCATGTGGGTGATAACTCCATCATGCTGCATTTTTGTCCTTGTCCTTTTCCTGCTGCGATGGTGGCACTGAAGCGACAGTGCTGAACTGGGGCTTTCGTCCAGAACCATCAAGCGTGTGTGCATAGAGGAAAAAAGTCTAAAGATCCTGTGCATGTCATACCTGAATTAGGATTGTGTCTCAACCAGTAAAACTCAATGTTTTGGCACTTGTTGGTCAAATACAGTTGCTGATTGCTGTTTAACTAGATGCCTATAGACAGACACAGCCTCAACCATCATGCAGCATGCCAGAGCTGCGTTGCCTTTGGTTAAGGGCTCAGTGCAAAACACCTCAGGATGCACTAGAACCTGTGAGGTTTCCTCTGAAAAGAGACCCACCTCTCAACTGGTCATTTCAAACCACATCCATCCATTTTCTCATATTTTACCATACAGTGCTTCTAGCAATGCTATAGGATTAATGACTAATATGCTGACATTTTGGGTGATTTTAAGTGAGGATGTTGGAGACAGGTTGAAAGAATTTATTTTTTCTTATTTTTTAAGAAGAAACTTGTTACCACATACAAATTTTCAATACATATATTTTTTTATTTGTACTTTCTGCTGCATAAATGTTAACAGCTTAAATCAGTGCACCGCATGAGTCAAACATTTGCAGGTATGGGCATTCCTAGACAGAAAAATGTTCCCACCGTTGAAAACATTGATGTCTCCGTGTGACGATGGTTGAGCACAATAACGTTACGAGCGTAAACCCTGGGAGGTTCTGCTCTTTATGGGATGTCATGTCTTCAAAAGATATTAAATGAGATTGCTCATATTTGTGCATATATATAGTGTCATCACTGCAGGGAGCTCCTCAGGCAGTAAATATGAGAACTGTTTTTAGAACTACTGTCTTCATCTTCCCATCATTACTCCAGGACCGCCGACAGCCACAGACACTCAATGAGCTTAGAAGTGAGTGCTTCATTAACTAACTTCTGGAAAATGTCTCTGTAGGAGAGAAAAACTTAAGAGTCCGGGTTTAGCCCAACGTAAAAATCGGATGGTTGAAGGAGAAATCCTCGTCTCACTGATGACAAACTCCTAAAGCATTTCTTTTTTGTCAAACTGCTTCAGCCATATGATTACCTTAACAGTCCTCCTCCCTCATTGGCTTTTACAACCCTCATTCCACAGCATATTGCTGCTACTGTTCTCAATAGATAAAGATGTGATAACGGGCAGTTAAAGGTTTGTTTGATCCAGAGGAAAGGTCCGATTGAGTTGCTGCATGACAAAACTCAATCTGAACCTCTACTGTTTATTACCCCTGCTTTTATCAGGGAGTGCGCGGCACGATTTTTATGGGTTAATAAATGCAAACAGACATGCAACAGAACAGCTGTGCCAAAGTCATTGGAAAGAAAATGGCCACAGGCTTAGAAACATGTAATGAGGAAGAGAGAAATAACCTGCTGTGTTTCTGAGAAGGTTTTTAGTTCACAGATCTATCAGAGCGGAGCTGCTACATCACTGTTTCTATGAGAAGTCAGCTACAAGGCACACAGACTGCCTGGTTATAATCCTCAACTACTTTCTGAATGTTCCACACCTTAGGAAAGCTTTACTGACATCAGAGAACCAGGTTTCTATCTGGTTAAATAGAAACAGTATGCTTGGAAACCTGAAGAACTTGCATCTTGTATAAATAGGAGCTGGCTTTACACTTCATCTTCCACGAGATTCAGCCGAAGCTTCCTGCTTTTGTTTGGTTAACATGTCACCAAATACTTTCAGGACACCACAAATCAGTCCTCAGTTAACATAACACCCATTTCTTAAAGTTTTTAAGGTTTTCATGTCAAAATTATGGGAGAAAGAAATGGATCAAAGTATGGATGATGAACTGATGCTTGGATAGATGGACAGAAAGAAAGATGAGCTGGATGGATGGAAACAGCTTCCATGGGAGAAGGGATACAGTCTGGTTATTGTTTAGAATGTTTCCATACATGGAAGATCCCTGAATAAAAATCCTTGTTGTTCCAGATTTAAGGACTGAATAAAGACCCTGGTTTATTACAGCAAAGACTTTCAGACCTTCGTGAAGGTAGAAAAGATCGGTGTCATATTTAAATATTATCCTATCACTGATCTCCCAAAATTAAGAAAATCAGGGCTGATTTATCAGTGCACCAATAATGTTTACAGCTCTGATGGGAAACATCCAGCAACACAGAGGACTAAAACAACTCAACCGATTAGAAGATAACACCACACTATAGCTTGTGTAGAAGTTTTAACTTAATTCCTTGTTTCTATGTATTTTTTTTTTTCCAGATTGTTAGTTTCTCAGTGTGGTTAAAAGTGGTCTTGGAGAATATTTCTCTAATTGTTCTGAAAATGATTATTAAAAAAACATTTCTGGTTGCTTTTTGGCTTATTTTCTTCAGTAGGTGAGGAGGATAGTTGAATAAAGCTACTTTTAAAGATTACAAAAATGTAATATACAAAACTAGAAATGGTTTATGAGATTTTCATGGCACAGTGTGTGGTTCCAGAGAATCATGCTCAAACTTGAATCCATTATTCAACCACTACTTAATCTGTAGACCTTTTGTTTGCTCAGCTGCTAAAGCACCAGGAGAACTTCTAGGAAGGTGTCTGGTCTTCTTCATTATCTCCTAAAACACATACGAGGAATGTGAAGGAAGAAAAAATAATGAACACTGAACTCTTTCCAGCCTGTGGAAAAGCTTAGAGTTAATTAACAGACTTCATTCTCACCATGGGTGTTAGGAAGTCGTCACCATGTGACAGCAGTCAAACACTAAGTGTTGATTCTGTGAACCGCAGCAGTGGCAGCCTTTGGAAACTGATCTAACACATCCAGAAGCTTTCAATATACCTCCCTGATTCAATTAAACCCCAAATTATATATTAAAGGAGGAAATGTGAAGCTGTGACCAGCTAACGTCCTACCTCTGCTGTAAAAGATATTTTTCTCTTCTTAGCAGTGCTCAGATGCCTTGAAACAATGTTTACTCACTAACGTTCTACAGGGGATTGCCTTAACTCCGTCTGCACTTTAGACATTTGTTTTCATTTGCCTGCAACATTTCGTCTGCTCTGCTGTGTGCAGCCAGCCTGTTTCAGTTCATCAATAACATCCAGTTATTGCCGGGGTCAGAGCCCGTAAATCTGTTACTTGCTGCATTCATGAATGCACACACTGTAGGACTTACTAGTAAAGCACTTCGTTGGCCTCGTGTCTCTCGTATCGCACCGTCTCGCACATTATTCTGTGGAAACAGAGCAAGAAGGACGTCAGTCACCTGCAGTAATATCACATTTATTACAAGCATTGAAAGAAACTACATAAAAAGCTCTAGCAGAGGTAAATATGAATTTTATGTTACATTCATAAACACATGCAGGACATTTTCTCAGATTTATTTTCCACCACTTTTAGAGAATGCAGTATGTACGTTGTCAGGTGCTTAATGCCTTTATAAATAGCTGGTAGAAGGTGCTGCATGCTTGATGAGGAGAAAAAAAAGACAACTTCACACCAACAGACAGACTCTGAGCTCCAGGTGGAAACAAAGTCTGATCTGACTTCAGACATTTCTCCAGTTCATAAAATCCAATTAAATACTAATATAGAGCTGCACGATATACTCTACTGTATTCTTCATCAACATTTCAAAATGTCATAACTGCAAATCACTGACTGTATTCAATATTTTGTAGACCACTATATTATAGGGACCAAGCTTGCACATCACAACTGACAAGGTAAAATATGTTCCAATAATCATCATAATCTGCTAATGTTACATTTCATTCATCCTAACAGGTCTCCCATTGCCTATGTGACACCAAAATGATGTGCAGCAGATCTAAACTTCATTCATCCTGCCATTAACCACCTGCAGGGTGGCAGCTTGAGCCTCTGAGACTTTCTTAAAGAGAGGCAACGCAACAATGAAAGGTTTGCTTTTAGATTAGAGGAGTTAACCCTGAAGCCTATAGCCAAGATTTAGCACTGACTAATCGAGAAAACAGAAAACTTTTATCTAGTTCATATAAACAAGATTAGACAACTGGCCTAAGATAAACTACTTTCTGTTCCAAGTGGCACCATGTTAACAGCCAAGTGCATTTGACAAGCAGCAGGTCCCATTTTTGAATCGCATGGTTCAGCTACATAAACATTTAAAAAGCCATAGAAAACTTTTCCCCATATGTTTAGAAATACTTGTGTGAGAGAACTGTAGTGAAATCAACTATAGCAGGAAATCTAGTTGCACAATATTCAAAACAAACAAAAAAAAACTGTTGGAAAAAAGTAGCTGTGAAAGTACCACAAGAGAAAAACAACACATTCCTTGCGAGGAAAAATGTTGAGGAAAAAGGACTTTACATAATCCCATAGTTAGTGGGATGTCTGGAAGTTGGCAGGAGTGGTGGGCTGGTCTGTGGGACTACGAGGACATTCCTGGGGATCCAAACAGGCAGGACCACAGCGGGTTGCTGCTGGGCGGGAGGCCTCTGAAGGCTCAGGCGCTGGAATGTTCTCGCTCACGAGTCGCACGCTGAAACATTGTTCCCTACTCCACATAATCCCTGTGTGTGCACACAGGCCAGGGTGGGAACAGACCTCTAACACACACTGTTTGGGCAGCGAGTCAAAATAGGCGGGGAGGCTGACGTAGAGAAAAAAAATCTACAATTTTCACACATCAAATAGGTTGAATGAAAGTGGACATAGACCAACAATTAGAAAAATATTCCTTTAGGTTAATTTTACTGGACTGAGTGAACAAGTTTAGAGGGTCCAATTTAATGAAATACAGATGTAGTAAAAAATGAAAATAAAGAACATGGTATAGTGCAGATCATCAGGCTTTTCAATATGGATACAGATTTCCATTATATATATATATATATATATATATATATATATATATATATATATATATATATATTTGTTTTTTTGGGCAGCTCTCCTTGAAACTGACAGATTTTTTAACCTTGAAAATAAAATGCAAAATTATGTTAATTAAAGCTGGAAGAGAATAAATAATCGAAAGCAGATTGACTAAACAAAAAGAGGAGTCAGGAAGAAGAGCCATGAGGTTAATGAGGAAAAGTATTGAGGTAAGACTATATTTGAAGGGGGCTGAATAAGACTGACATGACACCGTCATAAACATGACATAACACCTGTCATGAACATGAATAAGCCTTCATGAATATTTATGACTGTTGTCATAAAGCGTCATTTGGTAAATTATGACACTTTTAATACAAAGTTGACATTATTCAAAATGTCTGTTATGACAACTTGACATTAACCAAGAAATCATTACTGATATGAATTTGTTATAAAAGTATTACTCATTGCACTTTAAAAATTAGGTAACTTTATGTTATTAAAGGTAAAGTTCAAATAAAGTGTTACCAATATGGACTAAAAATAATGAGCTTAAATAGCACCCACAAGCAATAAAATGTGATTTTAAGGGTCTGTGGCTTCTATTCAGTTTTATTTTTATCTTTTGTAAAATTTATATTAAAATATTCCTTGTATCAAGTCTTTAGAGACCTTAGAGAATAAAAAGACCTTGTCAAAGTTTTCAGTCCTTCCTCAGCAAGTTGCTGTTAGTTTTCCATCTTAGATGTATGCCGATAGAACATGTTTGTATCAGAATATCTACGTTTGGTGCAGACGCTTACCTCAGCTGGTGCTCCCGCAGGTTGGACAGAGCCTCCATCCCATGGAGATACGAGTAAACAATCTCCAGGTCCTGAGGAAGAGGAGCAGAAGGTCAGTCGGACATAGATCCGTGCCATCTTAATCATAAGAGTTGTAAAAAGTTAATAAATCATTTGTTGAAGTTCTGTTTATATGTTCTTGTGTAAATTATTCATCATTATAACTGATTATACCATTAATAGTTTCAGAAATAATTTTCTGGCATCCCTGAACTGAAATTAAACCCATTTTTCCTCAATAAATTTCATCTGTGATTATTAACATTATTCTTGTTAAATGAGTGTCGCAACAAATTGATGCATTTGAGCTTTGGTGAATTATAATTATGCATTCGCTTCAACAGTTATAATGCTGCTAGTTCATGCTGCAGAACATAAACTGACTGTGGGATGACGGAAAACTCTTAACAAGCACGGCTTCATTGACTTGTGAGTCTGAACGTTGGAATAGACGGCAATAAAGCAGCAGCAGAGAGGGGAAGAAATAAAAAAAAAAGATCCACGGCTCAACTATAAACTCTATTCAATTACTTCATCAAGTGACCCAGTGAGTAACTCTGGGATGGTCTGGCCGCTGTCCAAGTCTGAGGTGAAACAAAGTGGCCCTCTCCCAGAGCTGGCAGACAGCACAGCCACCCCACTGTCTGCCGCTGCACACTGGGCCACAGACCTCCAGGCCCTGAGTCTGGGCTGGAGCTGCACGACTGGTGGAAGCTACTGGGAGGCCTTTGTAGGCAGAAAACTGGAGGTAGATGTGGCGACGGCAGAGCGGCGGGACAACAGAGAACTTGTCCTGAGAGCCGGCCAGACGTCCACATCAAGCCACACTGAACGCACAGTTTGTCTCTGGGTTAAGTGTCTCACAGCAACAATCCTGGAATTATTGAACATTTTTTGACATGGAGACAACTGTCAGAGTTCATGGTGTGTGTGAGAGGACTGTCAATGTTGTATTCCTTCATGGAAAAAAGAATGAATAAAAAAAGACAGAAGAACTGGAAGACAATTACTTTTTAGAAAGATAAATGAAGAAAACTTTTGACCTGGAAGGCTGCAGACAGTATAAAGTGTGACCGAAATAGCTCAAATCCAGGTTATTTTCTACCTTCAAATCAAAACCAGTCAGGAAAAGCTTCAGAATAAGGTTTCTTTTTTATCTCTCTTATGAATGAGTATCGCTAGCAGCCATTTTGATCTTTTGTTGTTGAAGGAAATGAATCAACAGTGCAACCAGGCATGGGATGGTGCTGGGAGATATGGAGGACAAATCCTGCTAAAATTAGCAATAAATAGAAATAAATACATGGTTTGATTAAGTAATTTATGTATCAAATATTGCATAAAAAATAAATAAAAATAAGGACTTTTCCCCCAACTTATTTTATTATAAAGTGTAATATAAATTACTATTTCTCATTTTCAACAGGATTGATGTAGAATTGATTTTCTATTTTATGCCCAATCTTATTGATTTATTAGTTTCTTTTTTTCTTTTTTTTTACTTTATATTATTCTTTAATGCATTTCTTTTTACATACTGTTACAACTATTAATGAGATCCTATTAATGACACACTGCTGCAGCAAACTGCAGGTCAGCTGGGTGAAAGAGATCCTACAATTGTCTATCTCCTGTAAACAGATCACTCACTCATCTCATCACTCTTATAAAGACAACAGTTTTAAAAACTACAGTTAGCAAGCTACAAGGACAATGTATGTTATAAAGCTAGAAAGTATGACTTTGTGTGTCCCTCCCCCCGCCTTTTTCCCCAGTTTACTAAACTTTTGTTACAAGAGCTGGACAAGTTCATTTAAGAAGCTCACAATACAAATACAAAATAGCTTCTCTTGGTTTCAGTGGCTATAAAATGATGAAAGGTAAACATGTTTAAAAACAGGTAAATAACATGCATTTAGTGTCTATTACATGGTGATTCACAGATAAATTAGTACTGATGAAGACTTTCTAACCAAGCTCTCCCTCAGGATCGCTGACCTCTGTGCAACACACCGAGGCTCTGTTAGCTTAACGAGCTACGTAAACAAACAGCCCTCCACCACGCTGTAACTCACTTGTCACCACATGTGATTGTACATGGAATGAAGTTATTAAGAAAGACACAAAGAATGACAGGAGAAAAAAAGAAAAACATAATTAAATAAAAAATGTTCTAGAGGAAAAGAAAACTGAAAAAACTAAAACCAAAACAAGAAAAACAAAAATAGGAAATTACATTAAATGTAACAACGACGAAGGAAACAAAATCTGTAAGGATCACCTAAGAGAGACTATAACAAACTTACTGTCTCCAGAAAACAATAAATAAGCCTCACAAATAACAATTATAACTGTAACAATCAAGGTTGTAATAATGTTGCCACACTAGACTTAATGTTTTATTTTAAAACATTTAGTTTTAATGTTGTTAAATGGCAACATTAAAACAAAATGTTGCCATTATGTTTTAAATAGTTAGATCATACTCATTTTAGTTTGGAAGTTTTATTTTCAGTTGTATTGTGAGAATATCATCCCATCCCTGATTCTACCTTTGATTTAACAATAAATAATAGTCACACAGATTAATTATGCAATAACATTAAAATGTTGTAAAGTATTAAAATACTTGTAAAATTAGAGGTCAGTTTGGATGCACAGAGGTTAGCGTTGCCATGGAGACGGTTTCTGTAAGCTCACACAGTGATATCCTGAGTAACAAGATTTCAATGTTCAAAAGGTCTGAAGAGCAGCTACTGTCAGAGGACCAGCAGGGGTTATTTGAAGACAACTACTGCCACCTACTGGACGACAAAAGAACAGCGGTATAAACCACTGAATTCAAAAGCAGCATGGCCATTTTGTCAATTTTTAAGCTGATTATACATTCAAACAATACTCCATCTTTAAAAAATATGTTTAATTATTATGAATACACATATGTGATGCATGATTTTCAGATGTTTTCAGATCAAGAAAATTTATTTAAAGAATTATTTTGTTTTCTGGACCTTTAAAAACTACAAAGCCAAAGTTTTGCAATAAAAATCAAATGTTGGGGCTATAAAATGTTTTTTTTTGTTAATTTGCTCTTTTATTGTTTGTGAGGCTGAGAAAGAGAACACGTCATTGGTTAGTTTATAATTTAAAAAGCAATAGTTTAAGAGGCTGTTTTTTTAGAGCATTAAAATCTTTTTATAAGAATAAATATAATCTATGTAGAAAGTCTGGAGTGTTTGTCAGCAAGAATCTTTCCTACCATTATGTCTGCATTGTTTTGATAATTTTTTTATATTAACCACTGACTATGAGGCAGCTTGGTGGCCCGGTGCTCTAAAGCCAGAACCACATAACTGCAACAGAACCACGTCTTCTTCTTCTTGCCGGCTAACCACAAGAACCATCAGCCAGGAATTTAGCTGCATATTAGTTTCCTCGTTTGCTGTGATTTAAAAATACGCTCATATAGAAACCAAAAGATTTTCCACAGATTTTCTTTTAGCTCTTTCAGAAACCAGTGACTATAAACATCTAAAAACAATGAGCGTGTATAAATAACTTCATGTAAGGAGATGAGTGTTTCCTAAGACGGCAGGGATTTAAGCTAACCTTCTTAAGCACTAGCAGAGAGACGCCTACAGGTGGCAGTGTGTGCAGGCCTGTTTCTGCCTCCAGATTGACATCACATTGAATAAAGCAGCACCACTGAGGCGCTGCCTCACACAGAGAAATATGCAGAACCATCAATTGTGGCTTCACTCGCAAATATTTCAGACTGACTCTATGGAAAGAACGTAAAGGACCCCATGTTTTCCTCTCCCCTGACCTTACATTTTCCGGTCTCTAATACCCGTCTCCTCCTGCATATAGGGCAAACAGAACCAGAAATTACATGGAGAAAAAAGATGAAAGTTGTAGGGGAAAGAAAAAAAAAAATTCTGAGAAGTTTATTCAAAATTAAGAGGCTCCAGCTGTTTTAAAAGCTACATTTCTTTCAGAGTTTAGTTAGGACCAGTGGAGGAGGCAGTCTGGTGCCCATGTTCGATGTTTGAAAGCAAGATCAAGAAGAAGAAAGAGCGCTGGACTGATGAAAGCTGCTTTCAGCTGCATTTCTGCTCTTTGTCTGTTATGGAGAAAAAAAGCAAGTCCCAGTCTATACCAGTAACAACAATCTAATCCTTCTCCATTCTGCCAATAAACTAATCCTTGTAGGAACACAGGTGGCCCCACAGGAGGAGAAACATACCCAGACGCTGATCTAGGAAAAACCCAAAAGGGTTTTTTTTAAACTGGTTTCAGTCCTGACGTAGCGTTGACACACTGGCAACCGGACCTCCCCAAATAGTGATTTCCTTGATGCAACTGAATCTTGCACCTTCCTTTGTAAAGGCAGATGACAGGAGAGCAATGCAGCCAGACAAGTAAAGGCATTTCCTTTCCAGGACAGGAATTAAACAATGGCAGGCCTTGTATGCCCTGTTTGGGTCCCGCAAACACAGGGAGCCGGCCATCCTCTGTTTCCCACCCCTTATGTTGGGCCCCCCCGGCGTGGGAGAGGCAGTGTCTGGCCTACTGCCAGCCGATTGGGTGGCAGAGCACTCAGCAGAGAACAGGAAGTCAAGGAAGTGATTGTGGATTAATCAAGAAGCAGTAAGTTTAGTCTTACTAGGCAACTGAAACAAAACAGAAAAGCTAAGTTTGACTTCTTGTCAGACAGGAGGAAAAAACCTTAAGGTACCAACTAACATTATGACCATTATTACTGATAGTTAAACACTAAAGATCATTTTTGTCTCTTACTACTTCCTTTACATTGGCATGAACTAACCATTTTTTCTTAATGTTATCAAAACCGTAGCATATCAGTTCATGTTTTTTTGTAGTTTGTTAGTAAATAATAAAGCTGTCATGAAACTGATAAAACCTTGAAAATTTTAATTTAATTGTAATACTTCCTAAATCTTTTATTACTACTTTTTTCCCTTCTATTTTGGTTCTTTCCATTCCCATTTGGGTCAATTGAGTCAAAATT